TGGAAAATGAGCACTTGAACAATGTAGGCAAATACCGTGCGTTCAAGTCTGTACCGCTGCCTTTCAACTATGACGAGGACGAAGACAAAGATGAGTAGGTTGTTTTGATCCATCTGGTCAGAAACAGGGAACTCGAGAACAGTTTTCAAAGAGAGGAATAAAGGGCCATGGCTGTTGTTCTTTGATGTTAATCCGGCAAATCTGAATTCAAGGCAGAGGAAAAGTTTTATAGCTACGGTTATATTGTTTAAGTTTTTCTTTGTACCTAACAGGGTCCAGTTCGATGCTACCATCAAGCTCAAATTTAGGCTAGCTAATTTTAGCTTTTCAAACTTGAGTACTTAAAATGTTTAATTGAACTAGGCTCAAGCTTGTGCTTGAGCTCAAAAATAAAGCTCACATGGAGCACCCTAGTCAAACTCGCAAATCTTCCATGCAGATTCACTCGTCTCTATTCTCACATGTGCTGATTGAGGGCATGTTTGGTTGAAAATTTTGAAACTTCGAAAGGAAGATTTTGATTTTAACTTCTAAAGCAACTTATAAGCAAAGTTTTAGGAACTTTACATGACAAATTTTAGATTTCTCAAAACTGCTTATAAGCAACTTCAAAAGCCATAATTAAATTTTCTTTCTCCCTTGTAAAACTTTAAATTTATGAGAAAAAAAATCTACAAGCTTCTACACCCCACCAAACATGCCCTTGAGTCTTTTGACTCTGGTCGGTGCAATATTCAGCCTCCTTTTTGTTTCCTCATACATACGAAAATTTTCAAAAGGTTTGACTCACCCAAATTTTTTTGGTGAAATTTTTAACACGGCACGGGAACGAGGACCGTACAATAATTATCTTTTATGCATAATCTATCTACAAAAGATAACAGGAATCCAACCCTGCCATGGGTCAATTACATTTCATAATGTACTGGTCTACAAAAAAATCCTTAGCTTTGCAATTTTGAACAACTCTAGTGAAGTTACATTCTGACCAGGCAAATAATTTAGCAAAATAAATATTTGGTCCAACATTCTAGATTTTAACCTAGAACCAAGAGGTTTCAATCCTTTACAGAATTCCTGCATTGTGCAACAGAGGTATAGTGGCACTGACTGCCCCAATCTAACCTCGTTTCTAATGTGCTTACCGTACAACAAATGCAGCAGAAGTTAGTAGGTTACATCTCTGATAAACATGATATTATTGACAGAATGATGTAAGAGTAGAGAATCCGCAATAGCAGGGGGCAAGATGGAAAATTAGATCAATGACGCAATGGCAATATCATGGATAACTCAGTTATTAAGACAGATTTAG